AATAGTTGAGCTACCTGCTGTGCAGAATAAGGGTGGGACAGCTTCATGAAGTGACTGAACTTAGTGAAACGATCCACTACTCAAGATAGTGTCATACCTATTAGAGAGAGGAAGCTGCTCAAAAAATACCATAGTCAGATGTGTCCAAGCCTGTTGAGGAACTGGAAGTGGTTGCAGCAACTACGGATAGGGAACATTTTCATGTTTATTTCTCTGGCAAGTGTCACAAGCCTAAACAAATTGTATAACATCCTGTTTGATACTAGGCCAGTAAAATAGAGACTGCACCCTCTGCAAGCACCCTCGTTGACCAAAATGGCCTCCTACAGCTGAATCATGTAAAGCCTTGATTAAACTGCGCCTGATTCCATTAGCTGTTCCTACATACAATTTCCCTTTGAATTTGAGCAAACCCTTCTCCAGTTGGTATCGTAAACAAGCATTGGAATCTAACAATAGTTGAGGCATGCTGTTTTGGACCACACTATCACTATTATAACTCTCTGTTAGCTCCTTCATCCAAGCTGGTCGTACTGCTGAAAGGACACAAAGGTAGCTCACTGCTTCTTGCTTATCACAGATCCCTTCCATCCTTTTCCTAGACAAGGCATCAGCTACCCTATTATCAAACCTCTTTTTGTACTAGATCTCATAGTCTAGGCCCAATAATTTGGTAAGCCATTTATGCTGTATGGGGTGAGTAAGCCTCCATTCCAATAAATATTTGAGAGCCTGATGGTCAGTTTTGATGATAAAGTGGTGTCCAACTAAGTAGTGTTTCCATTTGGTCACTGCTAATACTAACGCCGTCAGTTCCTTCTCATAGACAGACATTCCCAAATTTTGGGAGGGATAAAGCTTTGCTAAGAAAAGCTATGGAGTGTCCTTGCTGCATCAAGACTGCTTCAATGCCAATTCCACATGCATCAGTCTCTATCATAAGATGAAGCTCAAAATTTGGCATTCTGAGGACTGGTGCAGTTATCATGGCCCTTCTGAGGTCTTTAAAGGCTATTTGAGCATTGTGACTCCACACAAAACCCTCATTCTTTAATAACTGAGTTAATGGTTTGCAAATAGCCCCATATCCTTTACTAAACCTTCTGTAATATCCAGTTAACCCCAAGAATCTTCTCAACTCCTTAACTGTGCTTGAAGTAGGCCAGGATTGAATATATTCTACCTTAGTTGTATCCATACTCACTCCATCCTCAGATATTCTATGTCCTAGATACCCCACTGAAGTTTGAGCAAAAGAACACTTAGATCTTTTGCAGTAAAGCTGGTTGTCAGCTAAGACTCCCAACACAATCTGTAAGTGCTGTGCATGTGATTCCAAGATAGGACTGTAAACCAAAATGTCATCAAAAAACACCAATACAAACTTCCTCATGTATGGTTGAAATATTTTGTTCATCAGGGATTGAAAGGTAGCTGGTGCGTTAGTCAGTCCAAAGGGTATTACTAAGAATTCAATGTGGCCATCATGCGTTTGGAAAGTAGTTTTATGTGTGTCAACTGTCTTGACTCTCAACTAATGATAAGTAGCCCTAAGATCTAGTTTAGACATATATTTTGTCCCATGCAATTCATTCAACAATTCATCAATGTTTGGGATAGGAAATCTGTCTTTGACAGTGAGCTCATTTAGTTTTCTATAATCCACACATAGCCTCCAAGAGTTGTCCTTCTTTTTAACCAACAACAAAGAGAGGCAAAGGGACTACAACTGTGTTTAACAATTCCACTTGTAAGCATTTCAGCAACCTATTTCTCAATTTCAAACTTATGTGCATGGGGGTACCTGTAAGGTTTGAGTTTGAATGGCTTCGCTCCTGGTTTAAGGATAATTTGGTGATCTAACTCTCTTTCAGGGGGTAATCCCTTTGGAGTTGCAAACACCCGAGGATATTGTTGTAGAGCTGATGCTACCTGTTCTGGAATATCCTTCTCCTGATCGTTCTGAGATTCTACTTGTAGTGAGGCAGAGTTCCTTTCCTTCTCTTGTATAAAAACCCTAAGATCCTTACCCCTCACCAGTTCCATTATAGGCTGATTAATGAAGCCTTGGAGATGTAATAAATCACCCCTACTACTAAGGGCAATACTGAGTGCATGGAAATCAAAAGTGATAAGGCTAAACTGGCACATCTAGTCAACCCCTAAGATGATGTTCCATCCTCCCAATTCCATTATCTTCAAGTCAAACTGAAACTGATAATTTTGTATCAGCCACCTGACATTTGGACAGATTGCTCCATTGGTTATGTCAATTCCATTAGCCAAGGTTACCGTAAAAGGACTGACTGCTTGATGAGGACGTTGAAGAGGCTTAACTAGTCCATAGTGTATGAAGCTATATGAACTTCCAGTATCTACAAGAATCTTGATGGGTACTCCTCCCAGGTTGCCTAACAGTATAATAGATTTCCTCTTTATTGCTATTGCAAGAGCATTCAATGACACCTCAACCATTTCCCCTACCCTGCCTGTAAGCTCATCTTGCTCTTCTTTTACATCCTCAAAGTCAGTTCCCTCCCCTTCATCCAAATCTAAATAGTTCAATCCTCCATATTTGCATTGATGGCCTACCCCAAACTTTTCCCCACATCTGTAGCACAGGTTGTGTTTATGCCTATATTGCATTTCCTGATAGGTTGCAATTTTCTCATTTATTTTATTATTAATTTTTCCTATTACCTGACCTGATGTGAATTAATTAGTAGATTCTACTCACTTTTCGTAATTTACATTTATTTCAGGGAATAGAATAAAAATACCAAACCAATACCAATTTGGCAATCATAAGGAAAGAGCCCAAGTAGCATGCATCTGGGGGCATTTTTGGAACAAGAAGATGCGGCCCTTTCTGGTAATTTGCGAAAGACAACTTTCAAAAGGAAAAAAGAGGTTGAAGTCTTCTTCGGATGGGGGACCACCACAGACCATCAGAAGTAGGCAGTAGATAGAAACTAGAATTTGCAGAGGGTTGGCACTATTTTGGAGTTTTTAGCTTTTGACTTTTCTTCTTCATTTTTAGTGGGGCCTCTTAGTAGTTTTCTTTCTTCCTTCATGGATGTTAGGAGCAAATGGAGAATTGAATGAATCTCTGTAGTTGTTTCACTTTGACTTTTTCATTTCCCATCCCGGTGTAGTTTTCTTCTCGCATGCTTGGACAATTAGAAACAATTGAATCAATTGCTGTGGCTTGCTCTTCCTTTCATTTATTCGAACGAATTGGGTTCTCCCAAACGAAGGCGATGGCCGCGCGTGTCGCATCAATTTTGCATGGGTCTCTCTTGTCAGGGATGAACTAAATCCCTTTTGTCTAGTCAAGAAACAACGGATGTTTTGATTCACCTAAAAATTGTGAGATCGATTTAATTTAATCTTTTCCTTTTATTTATTGGTATCCGCATATTCCTTGATTGCTATGCTTGTGGTTATTTAATTAATTGATTGTCTAGGATCCGGATAATTAGTTGATTGGGTAATCTATTGTCAATTAGGGCATTTAAATCCGTAATCGTTTAATTGCCTTGAATTAATGACAACTGGCACGATTGGGTTTGTGTCAGGGGGATACGCGGGCTAATCTGAAATAACCCTGGTAGTGCGTTATTTGGTTAGAATAGAGCTCTTCTAATATGTAAGGCAATTGGAGAATTAAATCTTTTGGGCGTACCTAGGATTATTTCTCAATTACAGCAGTGATTAACGGGCATACCTTAATCACCGATACAGTAAGGAGGGGTTGACTGTCATCGTTTTTCTGGCAGTTATAACCTATTTATTAATAAATAATTGGAATTGCTTGTGCATCGATGATCAATTAGGTGAACCATGCTGAAGTTATTTCTTGACTAGACCTTTAATTATTATTATCTTATCTTTAGTGAATTGCCATTTGATTTTAGTTGCCTATTCTATTTTTAATTGTTTTCTTGTTTTAATTGTTTTAAACCTTTAATTATTGTTATTCTTAGTTTAGTGAATTGTCATTTATCTTCTAGTTAGTCAATCATTTTAGTTAGTGAATTGTCATTTGTCATCGTTTATACAAAATCACCCCCTGTGTTATTTTTTTTTTATTTCAAAAGAGACAAATACCTCCAATCCCTGAGGATACGACCCTACTTGCCATGTTTACAAATTAATATTTATTTGTGAAAAAGTCATCCCATTCGGATATATCGGATCAAGCAAACTCTTCGGAAACAGGATGAATCGAGTAACCCATTGCACACCTAGAGTCCCTGCTCTAGTACTTGGAATTGGGTTTTGGTTATTTTAATTGGCAAATAGGTTTATTTTTATTAGTGCACAGGCTTCGACAACCTGTCAATTTTTGGCGCCGTTGCCGGGGACTGGCGTTAATTATTTGTTTCTTTTTAATTCCAATTTTGTTCTAATTTTCTGGTATTTTTCTAGTTTATACCTCGTTCTTCTCGTACAGGCGAATTAGTTTTTAACCCTGAAGTAGAGAAGACCGTATGTAGAACGAGAAAGGAAACCAGACAGTTCAGAGAGGAGCAGTCCAGTGCTGCATCTCAGAGACCTGAGCCAGAAGTTAACCCAACAGATTCGTTTGGTGACACTTCGAGTGACTCTGACCAAGAGGAAGTCACCATGGCGAATGCATAAACACCAAGGGAGTTGGCTGCTTCCAATTTAAATCAGCAACCTCTATGCGTTACTTTTTCAAATTTAAATGATAACATTTGATTTGAATTAAAATCTGGTCTAATTCATCTTTTGCCATCATTCCATGGTTTACCAGGTGAGGAGCAGTATAAACACCTGCAAGAGTTTGATATAGTTTGCAACAGCATGAAGCCCCCAGGTATTACAAAAGAGCAAATAAAAATGAGGGCATTCCCCTTCTCCTTGAAGGACTCTGCAAAAGACTGGCTGTACTACCTGCCACCAGGTAGTATCACCACGTGGGACCAGCTGAAAAAAAATTCTTGGACAAATATTTTTCGACGTCTCGAACTACAAGTCTAAGAAAGGAGATCTACGGTATCAAGCAAAATCCAGGCGAGTCCCTCTATGAGTATTGAGAGAGATTCAAGAAGCTGTGCATCAAGTGCCCCCAACACCAAATAAGTGAGCAACTGCTCATTCAATACTTCTATGAGGGCCTACTCTTCAGGGACAGGAGTATAATCGATGCTGCAAGTGGAGGGGCGTTAGTGAACAAGACTCCTCGGGCAGCATGAGAACTAATTGAAGGAATGATTGAGAATTCGCAGCAATTTGGTACGAGGGAGGATGTCCCAACGTGTAGGGTGAATGAGGTAGAAACATCCTCCATCCAGCAGCAAATCTCTGAATTGACATCCTTCGTGCGACAATTATCTGTAGGAAGTGCCTCACAAGCCAAAGTGTGTAGGGTATGTGCTGCCGTGGGTCATGCTATGGAAGTGTGTCCATTGGTTCAGGAAGAAACTGCAGAGCAGGTGAACATGGCTGGCCACGCACCCGCGCCAAGAATGCAGTACGACCCTTACTCAAGCTCCTACAATCCTAGTTGGAGAGATCATCCCAACCTAAGTTATGGAGGGAATCGGCAGTCCAACTTCATACCAAATAGACAGCAAAAGTACCAGCAGCAGTACCAGCCTCGCCAACCACCACTCCGTTCGAACTCAAGTCCGTCCATGGAAGAGATGATGAAGCAATTACTTGCGAATCAACAAAAGACGGATTCAGACCTGCAAAGCATGAGGAATCAACTGGGACAAGTGCAATCACTGCAAACTCAAGTAAATCAAATGGCCATTTCGATCAACTGTTTGGAGTCCCAGGTTCAAGGAAAGTTGCCATCTCAACCTAAGTTGAATCCGAGAAATGTGAGTGCAATGACTTTGAGGAGTGGCAAGGAAGTCCAAGGACCCGAGCCGGTGATTCTTAAGGACAAGGATGAGGAGAAGATCGAAAATGAGCTTGAGAAAGAGGACAGTAATGGCACAGATCAAAAGGTACTCCCGGACCCAGTTATCACAGTTAAGACTAACCCGCTGCCTTTTCCTAGTGGGTTGGAAAAACCGAAAAAGCAGGATAAGGAGAAGGAGATTTTGGAGGTGTTCCGTAAGGTAGAGATTAATATTCCCCTGTTAGACGCAATTAAACAGGTGCCGAAGTACGCAAAGTTTCTCAGAGACCTGTGCATCAATCGAAGGCGGCTGAGGGGAGATGAAAGAGTCATTATTGGGGAAAATGTGTCGGCGGTCCTACAGAGGAAATTTCCACCAAAGTGCGGGGACTCAGGTATGTTCACGATCCCCTATAGGATAGGTAACACTGTGATTAGGAAGGCCATGTTGGACTTAGGGACGTCAATTAATGTAATACCTAAGTCTATCTATGCTTCTCTGAACCTAGGTCCATTAAAAGAAATTGGAATAATCATTCAATTAACTGACCGAACTAATGCATATCCTGATAGGTTGGTTGAAGATGTGTTAGTAAAAATTAATGATTTGGTGTTTCCAGCCGACTTTTATGTACTTGATATGGATGATGATCACTCCCCCGATCCCCCACCTTTGTTATTAGGTAGACTCTTTTTTACCACAGCACAAACAAAATTGATGTTAATAAGGGTACCTTGTCCATGGAGTTTGATGGGAAAATTGTGCGTTTTAATATCTTTGAAACTATGAAATACCCCTCAAACTCCAACTTTAGCTCGGTTTTCTTTGTGAGTGCTATTGACCCTGCGGTGCAGGAAGTGTTTGAAACTGTTGGCAGGGATGAGTTGGAGGTTGCTTTAACCAAGCACCTCGAGTTGGAGATGACTCCTGAGGTAGAGTGGAGTGAAGATTTGAAATGCACAATATGGACATTCGCTCATTGCCAACCTCAACAAAAAGGTACGAAATTTCACCTATTTTCATTCCCGAACCTCACCAAAAGGTATTACCATCTGTGGTGCAGGCACATGTGTTGGAGTTAAAACCCCTGTCGGAGCACTTGAAATATGCGTATTTGGGTGACAACGAAACACTTCCGGTGATCATCTCAGCTGCACTCTCGGAAACTCAGGAGGAGAAGTTGATTCGAGTCCATAGAGAGCATAAAGAAGCGATAGGTTGGACCATCGTAGACATCAAGGGAATCAGCCCCTCCATCTGTATGCACCAGGTTAGGCTTGAAGAGGATGCCAAACCGGTACGGCAAGCTCAAAGGAGGCTTAACCCTCTCATGATGGAAGTGGTGAAGAAAGAAATTTTGAAACTACTAGATGTAGGGATCATCTTTGCAATATCAGATAGCTCTTGGGTGAGCCCGATCCAGGTAGTCCCAAAGAAGACAGGAGTGACAGTAGAGGCCAACCAAACGGGTGAACTCGTGCTAGTGGGCAAACCCACTGGATGGAGGCAGTGTATTGACTACCGTAGGCTGAACGCCGTCACAAAAAAAGACCATTTTTCTCTCTCTTTCATTGACCAAATGGTTGAACGTTTAGCTTGTCGGGCTTACTATTGCTTTTTGAATGAATTTTCAGGGTATTTTCAGATAGCAATTGCACCAGAGGATCAAGAGAAGATGACCTTTATGTGCTCGTTCGAGACCTTTGCTTATAGACGGATGCCATTCGAGTTGTGTAATACACCTGCAACATTCCAGAGGTGTATGGTAAGATTTTTTCAGAATATGTGGAGAAAATTATTGAGGTTTTCATGGACGATTTTAGTGTATATGGTGATAGCTTTGATACATGTTTGGATAACCTGAAATTGATCTTGTTAAGATGTATAGAGACTAATCTCGTAATTAATTAGAAAAAATGTCATTTTATGATTGAACATGGGATAGTCTTAGGTCATGTTGTGTCTTCTAAAGGCATTGAGGTTGACAAGGCTAAAATAGACATTATATCTGTTTTACCTTACCCCGCGAGTATGCGGGAGGTGCGCTCTTTTCTTGGACATGCAGGATTCTATCGAAGGTTCGTCAAGGACTTCTCGAAGATTGGAACCCCGTTGTTCCAACTCTTATAAAAAGATGTGACTTTCAAGTTCGATAACAAGTGTGAGAGAGCCTTTGACAAGTTAAAGAAGCTGTTAACCTCACCCACGATCATCCAACCCCTTGACTGGAGTTTGCCATTTGAGATCATGTGTGATGCCAATGACCATGCTGTAGGAGCTGTATTGGGGCAAAGAGTGGGAAAAGCAGTTCACGTCATCTACTATGCGTCCCGAACCTTGAATGGAGCTCAATTGAACTACTCCACTACTGAGAAGGAGCTTCTTGCAGTTATTTTTGCTTTAGATAAATTCAGGTCATATTTGTGTATTTTCTGATCATGCAGCATTAAGGTACCTAATGACCAAGAAAGATGCAAAACCGAGACTCATAAGGTGGATACTGCTCCTACAGGAATTTGACCTGGAGATAAGGGATAAAAGAGGGTCAGAGAATCTAGTAGCCGACCATTTGAGTCGTATACCTGTTGGAGAGGAGAACGAGCCATTAAAGGATGCATTCCCTGAAGAGCATTTATTTTCTCTAAATTCTCAATTGTCTTGGTATGCCGATTTAGTCAATTATCTAGTAACAGGTAATTTTCCTGCAGGTTGACCAAAATCGAAGAGGGATAAATTGAAGAGCGATGCCAAGTACTTCATCTGGGATGACCCGTACTTGTGGAAGAAATGCGCTGATTAGGTGATGAGGCGATGTGTAAGTGAGGCTGAATTAGAATCAATTTTAACTTTTTGTCATACTTTTGCCTGTGGAGGTCATTTTGGACCCAAGAGAACTGCTCATAAGGTGTTAGAAAGTAGATTTTATTGGCCTTCTCTGTTTAAAGATGCGTATGTGTTTTGTAAGTCTTATGATCATTGTCAAAGAGTAGATAATATAGCCCGTAGAGATCATATGCTCCAAGTCCCGTTAATTTTTGTTGAAATTTTTGATGTATGGGGTATCGATTTCATGGGTCCTTTTCCTACCTCATTTGGTTTTGTGTATATTTTATTGGCAGTCGATTACGTGTCTAAATGGGTGGAGGCTAAGGTCACCCGGACAAATGATTCGAAAGTAGTTGCAGATTTTATCAGGTCTAATATTTTTGTGCGTTTTGGGATGCCAAGGGCAATTGTTAGTAACATGAGGACGCATTTCTGCAATAAGACCGTAGCTGCGTTATTTCGCAAGTACGGTGTACTCCACAGGGTCTCAACGTCGTACCACTCTCAGACCAATGGTCAAGCGGAGGTATCGAATCAGGAGATTAAGTCCATCTTGGAGAAAATGGTGTGCCCCGATAGGAAAGATTGGAGTCAACGGTTGGAAGATGTACTCTGGGCCTATCGGACGGCGTACAAGACTCCTATAAGGATGTCACCGTATAGATTGGTATTTGAGAAGCCGTGTCACCTTACAGTCGAGTTCGAACACAAAGCTTTTTGGACAATAAAACAATGCAACATGAATCTAGAAGAGGCCGGTGCTCAACGGAAGTTGGATTTGCAAGAATTGGAGGAGATTCGGAACGAAGCGTACGAAAATGCATTAATTTACAAGGAGAGAAGCCGGGCATTTCATGATCAACAAATTTCAAGGAAAACCTTTGAAATCGGTCAGAAGGTCCTCCTGTACCAATCCAGGCTTAAACTCTTCCCAAGTAAGTTAAGTTCCCGTTGGATTGAACCTTTTATTGTTACTCACATCTTTTCCTATGGTGCAGTTGAAATCCAGAGTGCTAAGACAGACAATAAGTTTGTGGTGAATGGGCACCGTCTCAAACATTATTACGAAGGTTTTTCAAGTGGAGAAAGGGAGACGATAAGTCTAGATGCACCACCGTGTCCCAATTAGTGACACCTTGCCATGTCTAGTCAAAGACATTAAAAAGAGGCGCTCATTGGGAGGCAACACAATCTCTTTTGATTGTTTGTTTGGTTTTTTGTGATAGTTTCAATATGTTTTTCTTGATTTTATTGATTTCGGGTTTTAATTTTCGTTTTTGGTGATTTGTAGGTGTTCTTCTGTCATGACGCATCCGCGTCAAGTCGCAGGGAAAGCTCATGGACAGAAGGGTTGTTGCTCTCATGACGTGCCCGCGTCACGTTCGCGGGAAAGGTAAGCATT